GGAGTGGAGATGACACAGATACCTGCATTTTACTCCTGATTGGGCCTCATCACGCAGAACTTGTCCTCCCCCGATACTTCGTCGAACACCCATTCATTAGATCTCGATTAAAAGAGTGTGTTAGTGTAATTCAATTCAATTGTATTACTGTAGCACTTGATCACAGCAGTTCCCTCAAGGGGCTTGATACTCTAAGGTGAAGACTCTACAATAATAGAGAAAACCCAACAATCAGAAGATGAGTGAGCACTTTGGCAACAGTGGGAAGGAAAAACTCCCTTTTAACAGGAAGAAACCTCCAGCAGAGCCAGGCTCAGGGAGGGGCGGGGCCATCTGCTGAGACTGGTTAGGGGTTGAGGGAAAATACTGAAAAGGGGAGAAAAAAAAAAATCACGGAATCTTACCAGCTACTGATCGTAAAAAAATAGCAACTTAACTTGAAGACACAGCTCGACTTGGCACCACTCTTATCTGTGATTGGTTAATACTGAATGTTATTGTCGCCTAAGACATCGATCCGTCTTTAGTACGGCTGCACAGACAGTTCTGTGTGGGCACATGGAAGCTAGGCTAAAACTAGGTATCAGTTTGAGCCACCTCTCCTATATTACCAACAGTGTGTCAGTGTGGGGAAAAATAAATGATTATTATTCTTTTTAAATACTTTTCAACTTGCCCAGTCTAATTTCTTCTGTGTACGTATACTGAGCTTTTATTGCTAACAGGTCAGCTAAGCACACGGCTGCTGATAACCTCATGTAATAGATATTTTTAGATTACTGCTAACATGAGCGTCACCAGGCAGCTTTACTTAGTGAATTAGCAGCTGAACTCTTTAACAATGTGAAACAGAAGATGACTTAAGTCATAGCACTGAATCTTTATTCATTTATTTATTTTTTAGCATAATGATAGTTTCTACTTTCTAGTTAGCTCAGTGCTGCGTGCCAACAGAGGGATCTACTGCACAGGAGGACAAAAGCATCGCCTTTTCAAATAAAAAGCCACTCCATGCGTTCTTGTGAGCGCAGTCTTCTGCAGCCCTCTGCAGTGAGAGTAAATCTTTAAACAGATATTGATTGCGCCTACAGCAATCACTTCTTTTTGCAGATGCGGTGGAGCTGGACCTGTCAGCCTGTCATCTGTTTGAGGCAGACATCAATAAAGCTCCGAAAGCCCACGAAAAGAACTTCTGGCTCTAACCGGACCGGTTTCCTCCATCCACTTGGATCAGCCCTCCTTATTTCCAGGATTATAGTTGCTTTGAGGAGAGAAGCTCGCCAAGATAAGATGCAGCCAGATCTCATCACTCCGGCCTTTCATATCTCATATTTCCTTCCGACAGCTTTCCCCTAGATGCAATATCTAACACAATTTTTGCCAGCTCCTCTTAAATCAAATGCCTCGTCCAAATCAAGTCATGAATCACTTAGTTAGCAAAGAAGGAGCCATGCTCTATGATAAATATAAACCAGTGTCAGCATGTACAATTCAGACACACACCATTTCTAATGTGTGGTATCAGATTCGGCATCACTGTGTGTTGACAAACATTTTACTACTGCAGCAAGTGGTGAGCGGCTTTTTCCACTGAAATTTCAGGGACAGAGGAGACAACAGGTGCTTCGAGGCTTCCCTTTCATATTCTCGGCACTGCAGAATGAAGCGCCGGCTATATTTATGGGCTGATATCAGCTCCTTAAGCTAGATTTTACATGCCAAGGAGAGCAGTGGAGTACCATGACCGGCTCCCCGGGGAGGATGAGGGGTGAAGACTAAAGACTCGCTGGGCTGTAGAGGTTTATTCAAGGACCGTTTTATGACCCCGAGCGTAAAAGGCTGGTGGTCCGCATGAGACAAAGTAAGAAAGGCAACATTTTTAATCAGTTTAAAAAAGGCACAATCACAAGAGATGTGCAAATATTCCAAAAATGGTGGCGAAGGAAGTTTTCAAAGAAAAGACACAGCGATAAAGAGAAAGTAAGCGGGGGAGGGGGGCAAGTTGGAGCCAAGCAAGTTAAGAAGTATTTTTAGGAAGACGTTTATTTGTGGGTCTGTGAAACCAACCCGGGGTGTATACTTAACAGCCTTGCCATCCATCTCTCTCTCTCCTCTCTGCTACCATCTGTTGAGGTCTCTCAGCCTGTCACTGCGCTTCAGCTCTGGGAGACATTTTTCATTGACGGAACAATTCTGCAGATTCACTGCAGCTGATGCCATAAAATATGCCCGTTTCACTGATCTATACCCAGATTAGGTGCTGGTTACAGGTTAGATTAGGTTATGTCTTTGAGTACAGCAGGATAAGGAAGCAAGCACGGTCCCTACACTTCAATAACTGTCAGAGATGGGAATAGGAGCATGCGATTCCTGAAATACTCAAAAAGAATATTAGACATATTTCACAAAGGTTTTTCTTTTTGCTCTCTTCAGCTCAGCTGAACACAAACAGCAGCTGGAAGTTATGTTGAACTTTTCGAAGGTTTTATTGCTGATTTAAACCTCATTTGTCCAAATGTGTCATCTTTAGAGTAAAGTCATGTGCCGACTCTGCATTAGCTGAAGCCAAAGTCTCAGCTTTTACTTTTCTTGAGCCAAACTGTACAGCAACACAAGAAAACCTTTAAAAAAAAAGTGAAACCTTATAACATTAACTGTATCACATTTTATGAGTTTCTTTTGACTATATTAAAACATGTCTTTGTTTAACAGGCTGTGAGCAATAAATTATACAAAAAAGCCAACTGTAGCTAAAAATGATACAACTTAACTCTCATATATGCACATTTATTTATACTCTCTTTTTTCCAGATTCAATAAAAAAAAAAAAATCGAGCTTAAAATTTGCTGGTAATTATTTCTGGTTTTACAGGATTAACATCTCTATGAAATCATGTTAACCGAATGTATCCTTGCTCCCTTTGCATTTCTGACATGCCAGCTAGGAAGAGAAGGCTAATGACTTTGAGTCAGGTGCGGCAAACAGCTGAAACTTCCTGTTTAATTTGAATATGTTTTGGTAGCTCTCTTTCATTATGTGAAACAGATCTTCCTGATGGCTATTTCCAGCCCGGGCTTCCTGGTAGGTGAAGGCTGTGGTCATCCAACATGGCGACCAATTACAAACCCTTAGGATCAAAAATACCAAACATGAAAATCAGTTCAGTCTGTTCACTGAACTGAAACATCGCAGTGGGTCATTTGTGTGCAAGGTGAACACCTCAAAGACAAAAGTGTAGCTCATTAACCTTTGCCAGTGTTGTTTTTGTCCCAGTGTGCCGTGCCAGACATCACCTGTGTCACTTGACTTTTGCTCCAGCAGCTCATTAAACACACCTGTCATGCTCTTTCTCCATGCGACCTTAAAGGTTGGCCTAACCCCACCCCGCCCCAACTCTCGTTCAGTATGGGTTTCAAAATAAGATTAAAGACATACTTTAAGAGTTGTTGCTTTACTTTTTAAGTCATAAAATGTAATATTCCTCAGTAACATAACAGGATGGTTTTAACAGGAAGTTGTGGTATAGATAATTAAAAAAGGCTAATGTAACTTAACAAATGGTATAATTATTGTGAGTATTTCCCCTCTGCTTTTACGCCATCCTTTGCATCCTGTGCGCCGTTTCTAATTATCTCCAGGTTGGCTTAATGTCCTTATATCCCTATAAACTCGCATGTACTTTAAAAGTTAAGTAAAAAACGCAGGCAAAGTAAGAAAACAAAAACCTCCGGGAGGTGGTAATATATTTAGACAGTCTGCAAGGCAATCAGGGGTAACTGAAAGACAACACTGAGAAAGTTCCACAGCCTAAAATATCTGCCCACACAGCTTCAAGCAGGACTGAAGTGCCAGGTGTGAGGCCAGCGAAGGCGCGGTTTCATATTAGACTTCACACAATTAGACCAACACCACTGACTCCCAAATTAAATTCAGTCTGCCTTGTTAACGTGTTAAAAGCATTTTTTTTAAAGCGCCGTTCACTGACTTGAATGCGAGCGAAGAGGTTCGATCTGTGCGTAATTACGCACGTCGGTACAAGCGCTACTCGAAACCGCTTTATCCAAACCTACCTTCCGCTGCTGCTTCTCCCAGGCGGGGTCCAGCAGCAGATCCCTGTCCCAGTCCTCCTCCTGGGTCATGTACGCGTCTTCATGTTGGATCGTGTAGGAGTTGGTGTATGTTATTTGGGTTTCGACAGCTGTCATGGTTCCGCCTCAGTCAGGACTTTACGCGTCCCCCTCAGCTTATTGGTAATAAAAAAAAAATCAGCAATAGAAACGACGAAGATGACGCCGTGAGGCCAAACAACCTCCTTGAGACTTAGAGGTCTCGCTTTCGCGGGGGGAGAGAGAGAGTTAGGGGCTGCAGAGACCAGACTCCACTGGTGCGAGGTGCCTGTGCGGAGGTGGTGCTCCCACTACCAGAAGACCCTGCTGGCCGGTGCTCCTTTCCTGGTCAAAAGTGGCACACGTGACCGCACCCCAATAAGTATGGGAACCGACAGCGTGGGTATCAGGTTCTGGGCCTAAAAAGGTGTGAAAGGCGGGGTGGTCTCCCGCGGGTAGGGATGAGGGGGCTCGTGAGTGGTGTGGAAGTATGTCAATAACGCCTCCTTTCAGCAGAGAGGTTTTTATGGCCTGTGCAATGCACCTGTTGCTGTTAATGATCCTCAATGGCAAAGCCAGGCCTCTGTGCTTTCAGCCTACCTACAAATTCAAACAACTGAGTCATGTATTCTTTAAAAAACAAAAAACAAACCCCACATGAGTCAATAAAATTAAGACACCCATTTCTGAGATTTTGACAACTTCTCCCCTCTGGCTCCAGCTCAATCTAACCCCAGGCAAAGCAGCTCCTCCCTGCACTGCTCTCACTGGCAGCAGCTCACGCCATCTTATTCCTCACTCTAAAATTAGGCTGCAGGTAAAATGCATAGTTCCTGCTGTCCTAAACTACACAGCAAAGGATCAAGCACCAAATAAAAACAAACTCAGGCAAATTATATGAGAAACAAAAAGATTTATTCATGATTTTTGTTCATGCAGACTGAAAAAAAATACCTCAACATCTTAAGAAATACAGACCAAAAGGCATAAATATATGCACACACAACCATACAGTATAATTGTCTTCATATCAGGATTTGTCATTCACAGTAAACATGTTGACGCAAATGTTTGATCCGACATTCACGGTGTGAAAATCCCCTCATCGTTCAGCGTTGTGCTGGATTCGATTTCTTTGAAAGAGGAGCAGATCCCGATTGCTCTCCTCTTGAGATGACACACTATTCTGTCACCCCTGACGTCTTTGGAAACTAGAACGATTAATATTGTAATTAACTGAGGCGTTTCGTTTAACTACACTAAGCTTGGTCCATTAACCTACTTGAAGAAGCTTAGCTACTGCGCGACTATTTGTGGTTACAATTAGGTTTGTGACTGAGCAGCCGCTGAGACGAGGGAACTGAAATGGCTAAACATAATGCCATCGTGGGACTGCTGACAATGAAATGGTCCGTGGAGAGGGAGAAAAAAAAAGATGGGCTTGGCCTCAGGTGGCCTGTAATCATATAAGGGCAGAAGGGTGGACAAAATAACATGAACGCCTTTCACTCTAATGCCAGCCAACACACTATTACTGCAGTTATGAGGGGAAAAAAACCTTATAAATGATCAATAAATGCAGTGATTTTTGTATTGAGCTGCACTGCATCCTGCTGGCGTTCACATGCTGTCTGCCCCCCTCTATACGAGGTAACGTGTGAGATAAGACACTCCTGATGCTTTTATCTGAAGAGAGGATAAGCATCATTAGAAGTGTGATTCTGTGATTCACATCTGTGCTAGATGACCTAGAAAAGTCTCGTTAATGAAACCTGCTTCAACTAAAAAAGGCATCACGGTCTACGGTGTGAGGGCTGGGCTCAAACCTAAGCCGGAGTGGGTTCTGTTCCCGATGTACATCTCTGCCGGTCTGCTGTACCCTGTGGGATCCCATCAAAAAAAAACAACACAATACACAAATATATATCTATATAAATGTGTGTGTGTGTGTGTGTGTGTGTGCAGAGTATCTCAGTTCTTCAGCTGTCCAAACCACAGAAGGCAGGGGGAGTTTGGGTGAGGAAGTGGAAGTAGAGAGGAGGCTGCAGCTCCGTCTGTCTGTGAATTTAGAGCAAGAGGGTGCGCGGGGGGGTCGGGGGTGTTTAAGAGATGCGTGGCTGCATTCACCCAAGCACGGGAAGCCTAGACTCACAAGCACCAGAAGAAGCCTTTTTAGTGAGGAGCCGGCAGAGTTGGAGGGGAGGGGTGAGGTGGCTGGAGGGGGAAAAAAACTGGAGCACGGTGTGCCCTGATCATGGAGGCTGAGGAGGGGTTTCATCAGCTGCACTGCTTAAAGGACCAGTGTGTAGGATTTACTCGTGGAAACAGAATACAGTACTCAGTTCAATTTTATCGATATAGCGCCAAATCACAACAGCAGTCGCCTCAAGGTGCTTTAGATTGGAAGGTAACACCCTACATTAACAGAGAGGACTCCAACGATCAGACGACCCTCTTTGAGCAAGCACTTTGGCGACAGTGGGAAGGAAAAACTCCCTTTTAACAGGAAGAAACCTCCAGACGGACCATGCTCAGGGAGGGGGCAATCGCCTGTGACTATATTACATACAGTATTACATGCAGTACTCATAGTTGTGTTTGTTTTCACAAGTGTAAAGAGCACTTCACGTTTTCTCTAATCTGTGCTACGCTGAGGTCTGCAGACTCACAACTTCACGCTGTGGTTGCGTGCTGTTGCCATGGCGGCCTGGTTGTAAATGTGTGCAGCATTTAGTGACACAGGCTACCCGCGTTTTTGTGCTTTCGTTGGTCCTTTGTAGTAAAGTGAAACCGGGTGACTGAAAGCAATGAAAACGGACACAGTTGTTCCTCTTTGTGGTGAACTGCACTATTGCTCCCTTTCCTGTTCGAGCCAGCTTTTCGGCCAATCAGCATTCAGGATATCAGGATATGTGCTTTTTGGTCTTTCACCACATCTACACATGGCCTCTGCATCTGTCAAATACCCACAATCCTTCCTTCTAGGCAAATGTGCACTAATGTAGGACTATGGATCCTGCACTACACGTCCAGTCCTCGAACGCCACTAAATCCTACACAGCGGTCCTTTGGAGAGAAATAAAACTGGCCTCTATGTGCCTCTAAATGCATCCACACATGATGAACTCATCATTTGTGTTTTTTTAAAAACACTTAATGTGTCTGTGAATGCAAAAAAAAAATCAGTTTTTTTTGCACTTTGTATCCAAGCAACAGAGACATCAGATTCTAGGGCTCGTTATTATTAGCACAGACACTGTGTGCGACAACGTTTTCTTTTGATAAGGTTCTGGCCAGTGACTATTATGGGATGCTCCAAGATCAGAAAGGTGAGGTTAGAAAGTAGCTTTGGGCCAAAGGATCCTTCCACTACCAACTCACCTTATCGGTAAGTCATCTACTCAATCCTCCCCACCTCCTTTTAGTTTGTTAGGCGGACAGAAAGGCAGCACCACGCTTGTCTCGACTCCGTCTCGCAGCGGTCGGAGCAAATGTGAGACAAACTCATCTGACATACAGCGAGTGTGTGCAGGACTGTGTGTGTGCATCAATAGTCTTAACAGGTAAGAATGTAGACGAGGCGTGGCTGTTAAACAACAAAACAGAGCTTCTGTGAGTCAAACCGGTGTGACGTCTCATTATTTAATAGCCACACCTCATACAAGTCACTCATAGCACATATTCAGCCGGTCCAGCTGACACTAGGATTAGAGAAACAGAGCTGCCGTACCAGAAAAGTCCTACAGGAGTCCCGAGATTGGTGAGAATCTACAGGTCAGACTGGCCTCATTAGCTCGGCCGATCTTATAGGACGTTTCTGATTGGCACACAGGCTGTGAAGGACCCAAGGCAAACCCCCTGTTGGTTTATCTCGTTTTGTCATGGCGCTAAGGTCTTATGGGAGTTACGATTCCTTCCACAGCTGTGTGGCGCAAACCCATCATTCAACAGTTTCAGCAAAGCGGCTCGTCCAACACTGAAGTCTCTCTGTGTCGTGTTACTGAGTCCGGCGGCGGGCCACCACACATACACTGTCCGTTGGCACGCCCAGGCCACTACGGTAACAAAAGGAGGGTGGGTGGGTAGTTTGGGTTTAGGTGGGTGGTTCTGGGAAGTCTGAGTCCGAGCCAGAGCCACAAACCCAGATCCAAGGTGGTGGTGGTGGCGGCGGCGGTGGCGGCGGGAGTAGGGGGGGAAGAAAAAAAAAAAAAGCGCTGTGTATTTGTGTGTGAACGGCGGAAAGGAGAGGCGCACAGGAGGGCGGGGTTAAGGAGGAGGAGGTGTGAGAGAGGGAAGGGGGAAGGGGGAAGAAGGAGGGAACCGGGGCGGGCAGGGAAGGGGCAAGGGCGGCGAATACGGCGGTGGCGAGGGCAGGGGGGAGGGTGTGTGGGGTGGGGGTGTCAAGCCTCACCAATCAATGAAATACCGCCCACAGAAAAATAGACAAACAAAAAAGAAGCTGTTTTCTCTTTAACACACACACACACAGACACACACCAGCAGGACAGAGAGGGCGCGCCAGTCGCCTCCTAAAGCTGATTGCAAGACTTGACTGAGACCTGTGCAGGGGTCCTAACCCCACCCAAACCCTGCCCACCAAACCCACAGAGGAGAAGCCCAAGGCTGTAGCCGCGGCACCGCCACTGCAGCAGAGGAGGAGTTACGGACTGGGGGAGGTGGGGGAGGAAGGTGGCGATGGCAGTGTGGAGAGGAGGGAGGTGGGGAAGGAGTGTTTGTTCAAGGCACAGTCAAAGGAGGGGGCGGCAGGTTGGGAGAGGGGAAGTCAGTGCTCTTTAGGATTTCTTTCCTGCTGTTGTTGCGGTTTTTTTTGTTTTTTTTGTAAACTTTTTTTATTTACCTTGGTGGTGAAGAGAGAGAGAGAACGAGTTCCCGCTGCGTTGGCGTCGCGCTAAAAGTCGTCCCCATGGCTCACGCCGCCACGCTCACGCACGGCTGCACCCCGGCCGTTCCAGGCGGCACGGTGACCTATTTCAGTTGAGATAGTTAGTCAAGAGCTGGACTGACGTGGGGCTTGTTTGTTTGTTTGTTTGTGCGGCAGAGTTACAGATTATCACACATGCAGGTCTGAGAGCAGAGAGGACACAGAGACACACGGAGAGGGAGAATTTGGTACAGCAGGGGAGATACCAGACCAGACCAGACCAGACACACACCCATCAAACCCCCCCGCCCAAGGAAACAGGACTGCTCCACAGATCAAAATGCACCCAGGCCATTCTATCTGTGTGCCTCTCCCCAGCTCTCACTGTGCCAAAACATCATTTCTACAAGAAAAATCCTTTTTTTAACTTTTAATGTTACAGAGCCAGAACGAATCGCTGAAATGCATGTTCTCAAATGCAAATGAACCCCAAAACCCTTTGGTTGAGTTGGTTTGCACTGAGTTTGAGAGGCTGGAGAGAGGAAAGGAGCACCAACCTGCACTTACCCCGACCAAAGAGAGCAAAGCTGGGCCAGCATCTACACCTGTCTCCCCCTTGGGTCCCCAGTCAAATGGGTCTGGTAGTCATTTTACACAAGAGAAACAGATAGTGGGAGAAGAACAACATAAACAAGAAGAAGAAGAAGAAGGGGAAATGTCCAAACCCTTTGCTTTCTTTTACCACATTAGTGTCAGCCAAAACATTCTTTATTATAATAAGGTTTATAGTAATACATATTCTCAATAAAAAGCATGCTGATTTTTTTTTTTGAATGATTTTTTTTTTAACTTTTGACTTTTTATATTTTTCTTAAAAAGAAGGCAAAAAAAAATGAAAATACTTCTCTAAAAAATACGATCTCAAACATGGCAAACAAGACATTTCGCAAACCACATAGTTCTACAAAGGATGCAACTGGTATGTGTTCTGTATATACGACACAGAGAGAGATTACACCGTGAGATGCAAAGAAGTCGCTCAACCGCTAAAAAACAAAAAGAAAGAAAGAAAGAAAAAAAAAACACAGGGGGAGAGAGAGGAGGGGAGGAGGAGGGAGGAACGGGAGGGCAGTATAGGGGCGTGTGCAGCAGACCGCCGTCACATAGCAGTTGCAAAATACTTTGAAAGTGGCTGTTTTAATGAAACGCAGAGCTACGCGGGTGGGATTTGCCACTCGTCAAAGTCCAGTTCTACAAGCTCTAACAGATATATTAAAACAGACACTTTCGCTCTTTTCCCTTTTTTGCAATCGCAATCTAAAGCTGGTCTGGTATTCGGAGGGTCAAAGAAGCACGTGGACGACGCTGCCCCACCTCTCACTTCATTGGTGCTATCACTGTCGTTTCTGCTTTAACCAGCAGCTAGTAAAGTAACGAACCCGTGAAGGCTCGGTTTGTGGCTTTTTCTTTTAAGAGCTGTGAAACAAATCCCAGAGAAAGCTTCGCTCGCTCTCCAAGCCTTCTGGATACTAAAGCTCTGGAGGTCGGGCTCCCCCCGCCCTCCTTGAAATGATTAAAAAATAATGTCAAAAGCACTTAAAAATGGGAGGTCCCTCCACTTAATGCACTTCACTCGAGGCTTTATAGGCACATGATTGAGCTTGTCACATACCATCGTGGTTTCCAACAGAATGCGATTAAAAGATCCTTTTGTAAACTGCTCCCTCAGTAGTAACACGTTGATTTTTTTCTCCCTCCTTTCACCACCGTTTACAGTTCGTCACATCCCAGGCTGACTTACGTCACAGGTAAACAACAAAAAACACATTTACACTATTTTTAAAAAAGGCCTCTGAAAATGATGGACTCCATACGGAACATCTACAAAAAAAAGTCACTGTCGGTAATATCTGGCTCCTCCCCCTCTAAACTGCTGACCCTGTCCCTTTACAAGGAGCGGGAACTGCCGACAATATAAGAGAACACAATAGAAAAGAATAGACATTGAAATTTGCTGTAAGAGGTAGGCAGCTGTAATTACAAAGAGCGAGAGAGGGAGAGGTGAAGCAGTGTCTTTCATTGCTGCAGTTAGAGTAAGGGTGGAGCGGGAAGGGAGGAGGGGGGGTTCAGAAAAAAAAAAAGGGAGTCAAAGGGGAGATCCAAACATACATTACAGTACGTTTATGTGTGCTTTACTCTTTTTTTTTCTCTCCTTTCCTTTTCGGCAAAGTTTTATTTTCTTTTTTTGCTGCTGCATTTGTGCGCTGCAAGGTCAGCAAGCCCTCACCTCTCACTCGCTCACACGCGTCACAGCCCACGTCACATTCAAGACAAAACGTCCCTCGAAAAAAAACCCCAAACAAACCAAAAAACAAAGAAGACTCAACCTTGGTTCGGCCGGACGCGACGCAGCGCAGCCGTCACGCGCGAGAGCGTCGCCCTGACTTTCCATCTGGTTACGTTGCAAATTGAAACTCTTCAACATAAGGCAAAAAAGGTTTCAAATTAGCTGCCCTAACTGATCATCTAGGCCTAAGGAGGATGGCTGATGTCGTCAATCGAAGGTCTCGGCCTTAGAAAATCATAACTGGGTTTGCGGAAATAAAGGCATATATGAAACGGCCGAGCGGGTCGGCCTAATACTGGCACACGTGTGAGACTGGCACGATAAAAAAGTAAAACTGAGAAGCACAAAGAATGCCCGCGCGACAGATGAAAGCCTCCCTTTCGGTGGCTGCACTGTGTGCGCGTGCAAACTGAACCAAGGCTGGCGTATCAAGTTTCTCCTAAAGCAGGTTAATAAACCAAGGAGTCCCCAGTTTAATACCACACACTTAGAGCCCCCAGACACACACACACACACACACACACACACACGTACATACAGCTGCTGTAAGGTGGTCAAGTTTGGGGTTGGAAGAGGAGATTGGGGCGGGTGAGGGAGGGTGAAGGGTGGGAGGGGTTCAGGGCAAAGAGGGAGGGGCGGGCAGAGAGTTGTGTGCGACTATCGGAAGGGGGGCTCAGGCGTGTGAAGGGAGAGTTCGGGGCGGCGGAGGATGGCCTCCTTGCGCGTGGGCGGCGGCAACGGCGGCTCATACACCCTGGGCGCAGCCATGGCGGCTGCCACTGCCGCAGCGGTGGGGACCACTGGCCTGAGTGCGTCCAGCGTGGCGACGGGCTGGGCTTGCATCGCGGGGACAGCCTGAACTGCTTGGACCGCTTGCATGGCCTGCATTCCCGGCATGCCAGGGATGGCGGTCACTGCGCTCGGTGATGCGTAGGCATACTGGAACTGTGGGTACTGCTGGAGCTGCTGGTAGTACTCCGCGTAGTACCTAAGACGGGGGAGGACAGAGATGGTTAGGTTAAGGACAAATTTAGTTGAAGAGAAAATAGTTTGCAGTGAACAGTGAACCACGAGCTAAAACCACAAGAACAACATCAGATTTGTAAAGGTGAGGGGGCACCTTGATTTTTTAGAAAACATGAAAGTTGAAGATTTCTGTCATTATTTCACATCTGCTGCTTAGCAGGAAACAGAATCAAAGATTATATCCTACCTGGCCATGGGGTCTTCTGCGGCTTCCACTGCCTCTTCAGCTGCTCGACCAGCTGGCGTGGGGAGCAGGGGTCGGCGTGGCTTGGCCCTCTGGTACATAAATGGCTTCATCACAGGGTCCGGAAGCAGAGGTGCCGACCTTCGCAGTGGACTGCGATCCCTCTCTCCGGACTTTGCCACAGCTGCTGCTGTGGCGGCAGCTGCCGTCTGCTGCTCAGCCACAACCTGCTGGCCCTGGGCGAAGTAATGCGCCTGCCTGGCAGCCTCAAAGATAGCCGTAGTCGGGTCCGCTGCTCCCATGGCGCTTAACTGAGCGTAGGCTGGTGCGGCGGCGCTGTAAATCGCAGGCGCTACAGAGTAGGCAGGATTGACGGCGGCCGCCGCTGTTGGCATTTCTATCCCAGGAGCCGCGGCCAGATAGACGGGGTGGTTGGCCATTGTCGGGGTGTAAACCGGAGTTGTGTAGGCAGCGGCAGCGGCGGCAGCAGCAGCGGCGGCAGCTGGGGACGCAGCCACCTGACCGTAAATATTAGGTGTCATGGAGCTGTATACCTGGGTGGCCCCTGACGTGAGAGCGGCCTGATTGGCCACCGTTCCGTAAAGCTGATTGGCAACGTTGGCACCGTACACCTGGCTGGCAAGGGCACCATAAACAGCTGGATTTACCGGGTTCCCATCTGTGCGTGTCCCGGTGGTAATCCCTGTGAGAGCAGCATAAGTGGGATCAAAGGTGGAAGTGTTGTAGACTGAATTGTGCACGCTTTGCTGGACCTGCAGCGGTAGGCCGGCGGCCGCAGCGGCGGCAGCAGCCAAGACCGCTGCCTGACTCTGGTACTGCTCCAGAGAAGGTTTCCCCACAGGGCATTCTCCAGCATAGTGGCCCTGCTTCCCACAGTTCACACACGGGATCTTCCCCGTCGGCGCCTGCTTGCTGGGCTGGACCTTGGAGAGCTCTACGGACAGGGGCCGGCCCTTGAAGGAGGTGCCGTGCAGGGCTTCGATGGCCTGTAGCGCATCTTCCTTGTTTTCCATGTGAACAAAAGCATAGCCTGCAGAAAAGCAATGGCTGGATGTGATTCAGTGCACTGATAATAATAAGGATCACATTTGCTTAGGAAAATGAACTGTGCCAAAGGAAAGTGCACAACTTCACAATCGGGGCATTAGCTTAAACTTTGAACTTTGCCCTCTGCAGTCTTTTTCAGGCGCTCCCAGCAATTCAGCAGCTGTAATTAAACCATAAAACAGAATCTAAACTTTAACTTCACTTCAACTGTGAGTAGAGACCTGGCTTACCTTTGACTTTGTCACATTCGAGGACTTTCCCGAACGTCTGGAACAGCTGCTGGAGGTCTTCTGTGGTGCACATGCCGCTCAGATTACCCACAAACACCTTGGTGGAGTGCAGCGGCCTCCCCCTCGATTCCTCCACCACCAAATTGCGACCACGAAACTCCCGTCCATTGAGCTCCCGGATGGCCCGCTCCGCAGCACCCTCCCCCTGCAGATGCACAAAGGCGAACTGCCGCAGCACGCTGCAGCTGACCACCTGACCGTAGGGTTCGAAGATGGCCGACAGCTCTTCCTGCGTGGTGTCCAATGCCAGGTTACCCACGAAGAGCTTCACTGTGTGGCTCTTGTCCATGGCGCTGTGGAGAAACAGAGGGAGCATCGCTTTGACTGTTTGTTTAGAGATAAGTGAAAGGATTAGCAACACGGTATGACTATCAGCTGCCCCAGACGCGACAGTTACTGAGTGAGCATGAAGACACACCTTTGGCTCAGCGTTAGTCTGACAAGGAGAAGACTACAGGGGTGAAAAGCAGACACAGTGTATGAGCATCAAAAGCTTGGAAATGTCATTATCTCAAGCCTAAAGCTTTTATTTATTTTTAGACGACTAAAAAAAAAATCACAGATGAAAGAAGCGATCAATTTTTAGCTTAAAGAGTAAAAGAGAAAAACCCAGAAACTTGTTATTTGGAGAAAACGTTAAACGCACCCATATATACACACACTCTTGATAAAGAACCTTTACACATGAATGAGGAGGCAGATTAACATTCAAATTCCTCAAATTGAATACCACACTGACCACAGATTTGCCTCAGAGTTGCCCGCTGAGGTCAGATAAAGTCATATTATGTAAAAACAGAGCAGTGGAGATCGTGCTAGCGAATAACCGCTAAACATTTACAATAAATGCCACAGAGATCACAGAGTTCGCTTAAGGAGACGTCGCTCTCACTCGCGAGAAGCAGGCTGTGACTACCCATGCAGCTATGAGTCACCCTCATACAGAGGAGACACAGGCGAAAGGAGCATTTTGCACCAACAACTTCAAGGAGCAGTGCTGCTCCTAAACTCACGACACATTTATAGTGACTTTCATGCATCCGGGTGCTTTAAAGAGAACCTATCACAGTTTTCCTCATTTTTCTGTCACACATACATCGTTATAACACCGAATGTTCATATTCATTGTGGTGAAAGTTTCTTGTAATGAGGTCCACATATGTAGAAATAATCCCTGTGAGATAAATCAGGCTTAAAAGCTCAGTTTGATACAGTGTTGTCGATTCCTGGTTCTGTGTGATCTCACTAGAGGAAATATGCCTAATATGGTCATCTCAGGCACAAATATGGATGTAGCGTTCAACTTTCTGATAAGTAGCTAAGTCAAAGTGCCTCAAACATGCATTCATATTAATAGCCAGCAGGGGGCGACGTCTGTGGTTTCCGGTTACGTAGGCCTCTATTGGAAAATGGTCTTCTGCTTCCTCGCTTTGTGACCTCGGTAAACACCCTGCTGATGACTAAGACCTCGACTATACTCCACTGTGGACTCGCTCACCATTTGATGATGACGTTTATGTGGAGCGGACCTGAATGGACCCTAGCGGACTGACGGGGAAAGCATAATCCCGGCCCTAAGATGCATCCACACCAGAAGCAATGTGGTGATCATGGAGCACAGAAAGTGAAAGAGGACAGCTGGTGACTTCAGCATCTTTTCTCAACTTCCAGGCGACTGTCAGTGTGAGCACAGGATAGTGTTGATTACCATATGACCTGTCAGTATGCATATTAGTGGGTTACCTAGGCAACCGGATCCTGGAACGTTTGCAAGTGATGAGCCGTCAGTTTGTAAGTGACACGAGAGGAACAAATCGCTTCCAGTGGACCCAGCGTCTCTTGTTTTAGGTCATGCTGCAAAGAAAATAAGTGAATTTTGTAAGATGAATAGATAGATGGATATTTTACTTAATGATTAATTATCTGAGTAAATAAACCTTTGATTTTGGCCACATTTAAGATGTATTTTACCCATATTAATGCTTCATGTTTTCGGCAGCATTAAGAATAATAATAAAAGTAGTATAATCTACAATAAACAGGTCAGGGGCTCATATTGAATATTTACAAAGTTTTATATGGAATATGATAAAATAATACAAAATTATGTTAAAGAAAAATGAGACTGACACAGTGAAAAACAGATCTTTAGCAAACAGTAATGCAAAATTTGGTGATTCTGAAAGTCAGAAAGGAGGATTACCCCGCGTACGCTCTTTGGATAATGACTTCTCAATCATTAGACATCAGACAGCGAGCTTGTGTCCACAGTTTCACAGTCAGTTTAAAGACACAATTACTGAACGGGGTGGAAAAAGCATGTTAGCGCAATCCCCAAATAGTACTTGTAAGTGTGGTAAGTTTTGCGTGTGGTTTACAAAAGTTGTTCCGTTTTCCAAGCACAAGCGCAATCAGTTCATTTCAATGTTAAACACAAAAAATAGGGCAAGCTTTGTCCTCCGTTAAATCTTAAATTAGCAGTAAACTGTGTGTCACAAACAGTAAATCACTTTGCACACTTGATTTATATATTTTCCTCCCTATATTTTGCACCTTCAGAAAGGAACTCCGAGCATACATATCCAACATGGTCGGTCTGAGAAGTCTCAGAGTTCCTCCACCTCGTCCTCCATGTCCACTTACACACAATCTTGCCACTGGGCTCTTTTCTAAATACACACAGTACTTCCTTCTATGCCAGAAACCACTTTGTGCTGTAACACATTACTAAATCTGACACACCTCTGTATATGAGCACAGAAGCTCCGCTCATCTTTGGTTTAAATTTCGTTTTGTTTATATAGCGACAAATCACTGCACCAGCCGCCTCAAGGTGCTTTGTATTGTAATTTTAAGACCCCACAACTATCCAGAGAAAACCTTAACAATCACGCCACTCATTTTGAGCAAGAACTTGGCAACAGTGGGAAGGAAAAACTCCCGTTTAACAGGAAGAAACCTCCAGCAGAACCAGGCTCAGGTAGGCGAGGCCATCTGTGACAAAGACATGCTGTGGAAGAGAGCTTGACATCGTTCCAGTGAGGTGTATAAACACACAGCGATTCAAAAAGGTGACTGAAGAAGAACAACTCAGTGCATCATGGGAGTCCCCCAACAGCCTACACCTATTGCAGCATAAATAAGGGAGGTGTCAGGGTCACCTGGTCCAGCCCTAACTATATGCTTTATCAAAAAGGAAAGTTTTAAGCCTAATCTGAAAAGTAGAGATAGTGTCTGTCTCCCGAATCCAAACTGGAAGCTGGTTCCACAGAAGAGGGGCCTGAAAACTGAAGGCTCTCCCTCCCATTCTACTTTTAAATACTCTAGGAACAACAAGTAGGCCTGCAGAGCGAGAGCGAAGTGCTCTAATAGGGTGATATGGTACTACAAGGTCATTAAGATAAGATGGGGCCTGATTATTTAAGACCTTGTATGTGAGGAGCAGGATTTTGAATTGTTTCTGTATTTAACAGGAAGCTTCTGTTTGCGAGGGGCAGCCAATCAGAAGACAGTTTGGCTGCACCAGGAATTTCTTCAGTTGTAAATAACGTGAACAGGGCCCAAGAATAAAAATATGGAGCAAGAAGCGAGCATAGTAGGGATCTCCTTCACTTCAGCCTGTACATGTTTTACAGGACAACCCACCTCCCCACCCCAACACCACACAACTGGGTTTCTAGTTTTTTTGGTTTGAGTTTACCGAATACACCACCAGCACCACCACAGATACCCGCTCTCCATACTGGGTGAACCCCGCTCACATACAGTATGGCTGCTGCACTAACACTGGGTTCAAGTGAAGCATAAACCAGAGGTGGTGGTGGTGGGGGAAAGCTGCTTTGTGATGACGCAGCACGGCGCTGAGTCGACATATTTTCCACAGCTCGCTTTATTTACCAGCTCACAAATACCCAAAAGACACGAGACGAGTTGGTCGGACAGGCTGTCAGTGTTTTTGTGAATGGAGACACGAGAGAGAGGGAGAGAGAGCGAGATGCTTGTTTGGTTCCGCTCGGCGATTCAAAGCAAAGCCAAACAAAGTCCCGACAGCCAAACAGCCACGGACACGCATTAAACACACTTACTTTCACTTCCGATTGCGAGGCGTCGATGATCAATACTAATACCTGATACAACGGTATGACTCTCGGTGGCAGATCGATACAATGTAACAACACATTTTTTCTCCCTCCCCTTCTTCCTCCCGCACAGGAATGAACACAGTGAAACGGCGAGGCGATCTAAAGCTCTCCGTCCCTACAACAGCGCCGAAACCAGCAGCCCCCTCACAGCTTTTAGACGGCGGGCTTTAACGAGCTCCCTCATGAGAATAAGGGTGCAGAAAAGGCGATTAAATAAAAGGATCTACCATCTTACCTAAGCGGTGCTGTGTTTCAAAATGGTAGCGCCTGCTTCCGTTTGAACGTCGGGCATACTGCTGGAGAGGCTGCAGAGGGGGAGGGCTGCTGCTGCTGCTGCTGCACCGGGAGGATGCTGAATCCTCACAAAAGAAGAGCCACCAAAATGACTCAAGCACACACAGAGACTCGCATGAGCCTTTGTGTTTTACAGATGAACAAAGCCCCCAAACAACAAGCGAGGGGGGGCTCAATTAATGATGGCACGTTTACATCCAAGTGCAGGATTATTGTTTATGTGCGATCCTAATATCGATAGTATCGATATCAACGCCGGTATTGGTAATGGATCGATATTGGCACGATGAGATCGATATCTGTACGTATTATTTGTTGAGTATGTAGCCCACAGAATTGTGTTATGTATTTATTTATTTATTATTAGATAGGTGGTGGTGTGTGTTAGAGGAAAGTGTCCAAAACCCTATTTTATTATTTTATTTATAGCCCATAGCAAATTTAAACAAGACAAGTTGCTTCAGAAACATTTCTGTTTCAGGTCGCCAAAACCCACATTTGAAGCGTGTGGTAATAGACTATTGTGTATTGTGAAAATCTATGTTTTTAGGTCACTGACGTGTGCAGATTTTGCAGACTGATGATGATTCATCTCATAAAGCATGACACACTGCTGTCTAATACATAAGCTGCCTTTATAGGTTAAAAGTATCGGTATCAGTAATCCTGGCCCTGTATTTACAGTATCACACAGCACTAGTGGTCCGTAGTTGTGCTGATTTATTTAGCTGTAAATCAAACATTTGGATTTGTGCTTCCTGCTTTGATATTAGATTAAAAAAATACAGCTGTTTTTGGGTGTCCAGCTATAACAATGAGTCTTCATTCAAAGCCCAGCCACTTCAAACAGAAAGGGACAATGACAGAACATTTACTGGGAAATTCAATAAACTTATTCGAGCATCAGCAGAACAAGACAGATGCTCGATTTGGAGGAAAAAAAATCAATCCAAAATGTGCCACAGACACACAGACAGCGCACCAACATGTGGCTGAGGTATATGCAGGGGCAGCAGTTTGGACAACTTCATGATTCACCCGTCCAACTTTCCTAAAAGATAACAGAGAGGGAGAGGGGGTGTCTGAGATTGTCAGCTGCCCTCTCTGTGTGGCTCAAACGCCCTCTGCAGCAGTGATAAAGGAACACTAACCTCACTCTCCATGTTGGAAAGAAAAACAGCTGAGCACACAAACCTTCAAGGACTCCCTCTGTCACTTTTTAACCCCCCTCCTCACCCCCTTTCACTCTGGAAGGAATTTCACTCTCCCTCCTGGGCTCGTTTTAAACTCTCCTGCAGAGTCGATCACAGAGAGAGGGACGGTGTCCCCCTTCATCACAGATTTTTTCTAAATATTTTTAAAATCAAACACACACATCTCAGATCCTGGAATTTCAGGATTTGATTTGGTTTTCCAACAACTTTTTGCATATTCTACTTAAAACAAATATCATTACTCGTGACCCACCTATGAGCAATCATAATAATCTTCTGCATCACATCCTCTTTAATTTTTCCACTTAATAAAACTCAAATATGTGGAGATGACAAGTGCTTTAGAGAGGCTTATATAATTACTCACATGTCCCTGCAAGTGGACGGCAACACAGAGAAATGAAATCTGTAGCTGAGAAAACATTTACAGACATCCTGCTGAGGAGGTGACATGTTTAAAATGCTCCGAAAAACATTAAACAGCATTTAACAGTTTGATTCGATCACAAAGAGCATTTTCATGAAATTAAGTCCATTCATTGCTGTTTGGTCATCAGTGCAGTAATCTTCAGGACTCTGTCTTCCTCGCGTCAGCACTCGCGCTCCGCCGAGGAACACAATCTGCATTTCCCTTCGAGACGCTTTTTGTCCCCCTTGTTCAAACTCTCATCAGTGTCCAGAGGTTTGAGAGGTTCACAGGTGTGCCGCCAGTGTCTCCGGGTTGTTCTTGCTCCGACCTTTCCCAGCTATTGGCCGGTCTCTCTCCTCCCACAGCGTGACGCCGTCGCAGGCACAAATCTGTTTGGGATTTTGGAAAAGTCCCGCCGATCGGGCGATGATCCCACAGGCCAGCCTGCACAGGGGGAAAAACCCAACAAAACAAAAAAGAACAAAGAAATTTAAACTACCTAAAATACCTACACTTGACCAATTTAAAGTGCCTGAAATAATAATTTTGATGCCAGCGTTACGTCACATTGCATTTAACATTATTTAAGTTTTGAGATTTTAGTTAATTAATCACAAAAACACTGAGTGCTGTGGTCATGACTGATATCCAGGTGAAAGGATTACTGGCGCAGGATCTGGGCGATGCCAGCAATCAAACACTAGTCAGTCAGTGAAAACAAACATTTCCTGGTCTTGAACAAAGGTGCAGATGACCTCTGTAACACTGGCAGTCTACAGGAGTTACAGAGGAGTTACCCAGCTATTAAGAGTAGTTCAGAAGCTACAGCAGCCATCGACTAATTAGAAGGCAGGTGATTTGAGCCCAGGCTGCTCCTCTTTACATGCCAAAGTATCCTTGGGCAAAATACTGAAGATACTGACCCCCTAAGTTGCTCTCCGATGCATTCACTGAAGTGTGAATGTTAGATAGAAAGCACTCAGGCGAAAAAAAGTGCTTGTATGAGTGTGAATGAGCGATGGGGGCACGTTGTATAAAGCTTCGAGTGCTGCAGCAGAGTAGAGCGTTTAACATTAGAGGGCTTTAATAAAACTAGCAGATAGTCTACAGGTGGCCAGGAAATTTACAGCAGTCAGACAAATCTGTTTCTCCTCCTCTCGTTACTAATAACAGAACTAACAGCTCTTATATACACACGTCATTTGGATATGCAAATATTATTTTAGGCACATTGTACGACTCAAAAACTCTATGACCAATGCAGGAGGGACAGGAACCATGTTTGTTGCCTGCCTCGGGTCCTGGAAGCATGCAGGGTCTTGCAGAGAAGGCTGTTTGCAGCGAATCGCCCTCTCGGTGGAACAGATGCCACGCTGCCATCAGACTCTGTCCTTGAGCACCAGATGGTAATCATGGAGGTGAGGATGGACTCAGCACAGCAGTAATGGTCGGGGCTTTGAAGCAGGCTGGCTCATGACGCGTCTCCACTGAGGTGCTGAAGGTGACTCTGGAGACAGGAGGATGTGGTGCTTCGGCGTGGATGGAGACAGGTGGTGTAGTCCAGCTGCTTTGTGGGGTTTCTCTCTCTCTCTCTCTCTCACAGGTATGTAGAGAGGTGTTGCAGTCATAGAGGAGTGGTTTGTGGGGGTGGGTGGAGTCTGAATGTTGATTTGTTGACAAGTGGGCCTGAACAGGGAATGAGGTGACAGTGGAGCTCACCAGGAGTGGGACAAGTGTGGAAAAACCCATCAAAGATACAAAAGTACAGCTTGAGCAGCACAGGGAGTGGCTGCAGTGAACGCTTTTCATTGTTCAGATGAAACAGCAACAGACTGGCTGCACCACATATTTTTGATACTGCACCCATCTGACAACAGACGCTCTCTGGAGGTAGACGAATAGCCTGGAGCTCTCCACGGACTACCAACGTACTCCTGCTTTGAACCAACACTT